ATTTGAAAGTGATGAATCAAAAATAGTCACAGTTATACAATTATTATATGATGTTTACATACGTTATCTTATCTTCCCATTCCCTTCCTTTTCTACTCGACTTCCTCCGTACCATAATGCACTGGGGTGCAGTGAAGGAGTACGTCAGTACCTTTTTTCCTCGTAAGGCGCATAGGATCCAATTGTGGAAAGAATAAGGCTAGTTAGTGCATCATTAGTAACTTGATATTATTATTATTATTATTATTATTATTATTATTATTATTATTATTACTCTTACTCTTACTCTTACTCTTACTCTTACTCTTACCCTTACTCTTATTCTTACTCTGACTCTGACTCTGACTCTGACTCTGACTCTGACTCTGACTGACTCTGACTCTGACTCTGACTCTGACTCTGACTCTGACTCTGACTCTGACTCTGACTCTTACTATTTGATCAGTTCTTATGTATGCTCTTTTTTCGTGAGGTTCCTAGACTTCAAATTATGGTCATAAAACTTCGAAGGAATAACGAATAACTGATAATCACTCTAGGATTTTTCTACAAATATGAAATTCAATATTTTGTGGGCGTTGATCATGACTGTTACATGGTGTGACTGATAAGTTTTATATTTCTAGTGAATAAAATTGTGCATATCGTTTCTTGCCTTCGCATACCTTTACCAAATATATATTTCTTGCTTGTAAATGACCGAATATCAAGAAAAAATTTAAATCGAATGATGTAGATCACAGTGACAATTTCGATCTTTTTAGAGAGTGACCCGACGACATTGTGACAGCATGAACAGTGATGAGGCGACTGGGACACTGGAAGATAGCGCACGTACGCACGGGGACGTGACTACTTCGGTAGTTGTGACGTTGGTGCAGGCGGCAGCGACGGCAACAGCGATGGGGCAATGGGGGCAGTAGTTTATCATTTGTAAAATCAGTCTATTACAGCGACAATTTTTTGTTTTACATAATCTGAAACACTTTACCCCTACCGAATTATTCATCTCTCCGAAAAAATGATTCTTTCACTAGCCAAATGAACTGTAGCGCCATTTGACAATGTTTTGAATGTGTAAGTGCAGTTAGGGCAGTTACATGTCGGGGTAGATTTTCACAGTGATTTTGGTTGTTCTGATGCCTCTTCTCAAAATAAATTTCTAAGGATTGATAAAAATTACCCAATTGCATGTGGCAATATTAAAATTAATTTTCTAATACAGAAATTGTAGATAAATATGCGTGTGTAAAAGTCGAAGGAGAACTGACAGACATGTGTCGGAATAATTTATTACACACACACACACACGTCTGAGAGTATATATTGAGTAAAAAGCATATTACACGAAATATAACCATAAATGTAACCAATAAGTTATGCTTGATTATTCGTAATTATTATTAGCAAACTAGGCAAAAATTGTAGGTTTAAAATTTTTATTAATATTTTAAATAAGTTCATGTATCGTCTGCGGCTTTTGAACATTTTTTCATTTCATCAACTAGACTTAACTGCCGTGATCTATTCTGCACTTAAGAATGTTAATAACAGAAAACAGTTTCCCATAGACTGCTTATTTGTATTTTTTCTGGTGACACTTCACTTAAAAGCCCCTGGACGAAAAAGAGATAGCTGTTCTTGACTGCATTGTGGTCTGCACGGTGCGATGGCAGTGGTGGCGGTGGCGGCCATGAGGCCACGGAGGCGACGGCGCCTGTCCCCGCTGATTCTCGAGCGCCGACCTATTGGAAGCCGCGCTCACGTTCGCGGTTCGAAGACAGCGGATAATATCTCCAACTTCGTCCGCCAACAGAGTATCGGCACCGGAGAATACAGATGAGAGAGCGGCTGCTATCGAGCGGTGAAGGAGGGCGGCAAGAGGTGAGGCGAGGGAGGGGTGGGGTGGAAATGGATTGAGGCGCAATGCGGGACGGATAGTGACAGGGCGGAAGTGTAGGGGGTTGGAGCTTGGGGAAGGCGATGGGGAGAAATGATGTGGAGGATTCTGAGGGGGCAGGGATGACGGATTGAGAGAGAAAATAGCTGGGTGCTGAAGGGGAGCTACTGGGTGGTTTGAGACGAGGTCTGTGGTGTTGGAGGAAAGAGGTCGCGACGTTGCGAAACGCTGAGGTAGGTGTGGATGTGTGATAGTGGCGAAGAAATGTGAGATGGGAGGGAAAAACCAGACGGGTGAATCGTGACTTGTTGAAGGGCGGCAATGGGGGAGAGGTCACGTGGCGGGGGAACGCTGATCGAGAGAGGAGAGAATCGCGAGGTGCGGGTGAATCGTGAGGGAGGGCTCTAGGAAGAAGTCACACTGGCGGAGAACGCCGAATCGATGAGAGAGAGTCGCTGATAGAGGGTATGGCGGGGAGTGGGCGAATGAGCGGGAGGAGTGGAGGAACTGGTAAGAAGTCGGGTGAAGGGGTGTGGCGGTGGAATGACTTAGTGGCGAGGCATGGAAGGTTGAGGGGAAGGATTCGGTGTGGCGGGGAGGGTGGTCAGAACAAAACAGGCAGGGCGAGTGCGCTGCGCGGCCGGGGATCGCTGCGGGAGTGGAACAGAGAGGGGCGCGGCCGGAGCTATCGGAACATCCATCTGAGCGTCGGGCGCGACCCCAGGTGGGGCGGCGCAGACCAATTCGTTGCGGAAACGCGTGGGGTGTCGGCGCCCCCGAAAGAGCTTCCCTGCGCCCGACCTCGGCCCCGGCCCTCCCCTACCCCACCCCGCCCACGCCCCCGCGCGCCGGGGCTTATTTCGCGGTCGACCGCGCGCGAATGCTGCCCTGACTTATCTCGACCTCTGCCGCCGCAGCCCGGGCGCACGGGGCGCGTATGTGGCGCCGCGCTCGTTTGTACCTGCAGGTGACCGTACCTCATAAACGGTAGACGTGCTGATGATACGAATATTGGTCTACAGGGAGATGACAACAGTTGAAGAAATCATTAATATGTTATTACATTAAAAGAGATCTTTGTACCCCTTTATAAACGCAACGCGCGCACGGAAGAATGTGAGATTAAGCAGAGGTAAAATTTATCTGGAGAAGGCGTGCAGAATTATAAAATTTATTCATAATATGTGTTACGAATATATTAAACTAAATAAAAATATACGTCGTTAAGATGTAACCCGCAATATGCTGTAGAACACTACTGTCGTGCATAACTCGTATACGATGCGTTTTACAACCAGATTTTCGTGCTCTTGAAAAGACATATTTTGTACTTCTATCTCCTGACTTACGAAGTGAGATTTTTTAGACATTTTATTCCAAGCTTAGCATTTAAGAAAAATATACTCAATATTTGCATTTATGTACGTGAAACTCACATTGTTAAAACAGTATACTTGACTTCTGGAGGTCTATGCTCTGTTGGCGGTTCACGAGACAAGTTTCCGTTCCTTTTCCCACCAATGCGAGAGAGTGGGAATCGAAATTATTCGTTGGTGCGTCATTAATTTTAATTCAAAATAATGATCAGATGAATATATAAAATTAAAAAATAATTTATTATGCTTAAAATACTTCGTACAAAATCTTAAACGGATCCTTTAAGAATTGACTGTGCTTGAACTTCATAGTTTTTTCGTATCCTTTACCTGAACAAATCTGCAAAATTTTCGCAAGGATTCAGATATTTCGTATTAAAGAGAGAACAAGCATCTAAAAGGAGAGCATGGAGAAGTCCTAAAATTTCCGGAAAAAGTTCACTTCATCATAATAAGTTTAAATGAAAGAATTAATTGCGTTTTCGTGCGTTATAATTAAAGGTTCCAAAAGGTTTCATTGGATGTCATATACCTTGTATTCTAAAATATTGTAAGTACAAAGAGAAGAAAACTAAATTAAATATCATTATTTCGTCCATATGCGTTTAAAATGTTACTTTGTTCAAATATAAATTATGCTTAGTACATTTTTATTTCGCATAAATTACAGACTTGTTTATGTTTATTATCTAAAGACGATATCGAATAATTCTAGAAAAATCAATGTACGACTAAATTCCTAACTTGATAAACGACTCAAAATTTAAAATATTGTCGGCATCCAATCTTCCCTTTTATGTTATTAGAACTGTTATTATCCACAATTACATTTAAAGACTGAATATTTTATGGTCTAACAGACTCGCAGTATTTTTCGTCTCTTTTGGAGGAACAAGAAGGAAAAGAGATCTTACCCACTCACCTTCCTAAGCTCATTATGATTGTTATAAATACGACTACGGTAATGCGTTCTTTCCTTCCTGAGAAAATGCCTTCTGGAATGAAATTGCGAATTTTTTTGCATAAATCATATTACTCGAACAACATATTATACATATTCCTGGCAGAAACAAAGCTTCTGGAATGAAACATGGATATGCAGATTTAAATGAGAGCCAGGTCTAGCAAGGGAAGAAACATGAGCATATTTTAACCATTCATAACTGCTAAGAAGCTGCGCCCATGTCCAGCCTAATTCCTTCACTTGTTTCCGGTCTCACGTCTTCCTGGCCCATCGTCCTTTAATCTTTTACTCCACTTAATTTCCATCCTCATATTTCAACCTCGGCTCCGGTTTTCTACTGCTGTACATTTTCTTCCAGGCATTCTCTTCGAAATATATGTTACGTTCCTTCTATTTAATCTTTCTCGTCCGCGAGGATTTCCCATCCTTCTCTCGCAACGTTGTGTTTCGTTATATTTTTCTTCGTTAATCTCCGCCGCAGCATGGTGTTGTTTTCTGGCCGCCTTGTGTTCCTCGCCAACACCCCTTCCTGTTCCATTCCCCGCCCTTTTTCTCTCCTTCCCCTCCCCTTACTTTTCCCCTCCCATTCGACCCCTACGGCCGCGCGTGTGTGCGAGCGAGGTTGGTGAGCCCCGTTGTGAAGGGTTGCGCTACGTCGTTCTTTTTTATACGACTGCGCCCCCGGATAGCCTTCCACAAACGGAAGCTATTCTTTTGTCTCGCAACCTCGATTAAAACAACAGAACATCGACAGCGAAGAATGGAAGTTGTTTTGTCGCGTCCCCAGGCCGCGGTAGGGCCATCGCGACTCTGGGACGACGGTGACGGCAGAAGTTAGCAACAGTAAATAGAATGTGCTTCGTGTTTGATAAATTGTCTGGTACCTCGGGATTTCTTTGTGTACTGCGGTCCGTTGACCGGACGTAACGTCTGGAAGAGAGTTTGGCTTCCGATTGTCACACATTTGTTTCGCTTCTTTTACTGTTAGTTTCCTGAGTGTTTCTGTAAAGCTTTTCGATCTTTTGAAGATAGTTCAAGATCACTAAGCATCATACTAATAAACATAATATTAATTTTCTTGGAGATAGTCCTAAAAATCTGGTGGCAATAGCTGAGTCACCAAAAACTGCTTCTCAGTTAAATTGATACAATACATTTATTTTGTTATCGGTAATTAAATACGGGGGACATTGTCTTATAGCTTCATCATAATGTAGTTCTGTTCAGTTTATTACATTTCCTAAGAAAAATAAAATTCCAACATAATTTCTTGTATATTGAAATAAAATAACTTCCATTTATAAATCTTAAAATTTGATCACAAAATAATTAAACTAATTTTATTAGGTGTATATCCAGCTCCATTGTGTAAAGTCAGTCAACATAATTTTAGAGGCAAGTGTCATTTCACGATAACCTTTCCCTGTATTTTCAGCTACTGCCTATAAATTGCTCCTACAGAGAAACGATCAGAAAGAAGTTATTTTTTATTTCACCTTAGTCAAATGTCTTTAAAGGTAAAGCTAGTGTTCATGTAGGACCGAATCATGTTAATCTATATATGCAGCAAATATATTTCTTTACTTATTACTTGTTTGGTTCATGATTATCCAGTTAATTATATGTTATTTTCATCCTAGCGATCCTTTTTGTTCTTCTGCTGGTATATTGTTGCCACTACAGTGATCTTCCAGGGACTTGAACACACAAGATGTTAAGAGTTTATAGAATGTATTCAAATAGCTTATAAGCTTTTATCATTCCGGATTATGATTCCTTGCGCCTTTCGGTATGAGAAACGTCACCCGCCTTGTAGATCCTCACTTCAGTAATTTCCCGCGTAATTTATAGAAACTCGGAACTCGTCAGAGGTACAGAGTGAAATAGCCCTTGTCCACGCTCACTCTGCTACCCTCCTGAGTGCCAGCAGCGTCCAGCCTGCGGCTATTAGCGTCAAATTAATAACGGGGCCGTTTGCGCGCTGGTGTATTGCGTTTATCGCAGACCTCTCGGCTGTAGAGAACAGAATACATACAGAGGATAGGGGTCTACCACCACGTTTAGCCTTTGTCAAAAAATGTATCTGAATTACCAGAATGTTAAGAGATAACAGAATACATTTTATGAAAATATTATGGAACATTGTAGTAATGAAGGGTTGGTCTATTGAAGAAAGGCAAATTTGCAAATGATAAAGTATTACCTTAACTGGAAAATAACAACTAAACTCTGCATTCAAAAGAAATTCTGCCCAATCTTATTGCATAGCAGTTATACCACACAAAATGAACTTAAAACCCCCTCCATTTATAAGCTGATCCCTTCTATATTAATGCAGCTAAAACTAACTCAACATCTGCAAGTTTTCGAAACCCATTACTAAATAATAATAATCACCAACGCTCCTTCATTCCTTACCAACGACCATTTCTACATCGTATCCATCAATTATCAATTCTCTAATTACGATTTCTCCTCATCGAATATCCACGTCAAATGCACACAACATTGGCTGAAATCCAATTCATCGATTCTGAATTAAAAACAAATTTCTCCTTCACGCAATCATAAAAACATTTGCTGAAATCGGCACATCATGAAGATGTATATTTGGTTTCCTCAACTATGTCTTAGATTTAAGTGTAGGATGTAAGCAACGAAAACCATATGCATAGCTCTTTACTGATCTATACATTGACCATACAAAAAATAATATAAAATAGTACATAGGTTAGTTGAGGCGTTTCCAATCATAACCAATTGTTTCCAATATCTACTAAACGTAATAAATTCGCATTTTTGTTATTTTTTGCTCAGTTTAGGAGGATGTTGATGACCTCCCAACGGGATTTATTTCAAGTTCAGCTTATTCCCACCCCAAATGTTCCCACCCGATCAAAGTCGTGGATTTTTAGGGCGAAAAATCCTCCGTACACCTTCCTTCGGAAGGGAAGTAAAGCCGGCTGCTCCGTGTTAGTAGATTTACTGTATATAAAAGATGAAGCCTAAATGAAGCCTCTGAGCTAAATTCAAATCGCCTGCTTAACGCTCAAGAACTATATCTTACCTCCACTAGTTGGTGAAAGGAGCATAGCGAAATTTGCGTGGTCAGACGGAAGAGCAGGCTTCATGGCCTGAGTCTTGCCACATAAAATAAGGCAACAATTCAATTCAAATGTAGCTACAGCACATGGCCTCCTATCAGAGAACGTAGACGCAAGAAGATATTTTTCTTCTGTAATATCAAACACTAATAAGTTTTAATCAGTATGTTGAACGAAACCTAAACCTGCATTCACCTAGGTGAATATTTGTGAGTGTTGGTACAATTCATTATAGTTTCTCGTATATACAATGCAAAATGATTTTGATTTGTTGTAAAAAGTACGTATCGCGTGCTACCGAACTTATTTCTTCTTTTTTCTTACGTATATTCTCCTGAAACTCATTTGGAATACCGTGTGACAATATTGAAGTTTTGATTCTTAACGCTTACAGTGGATTCCGACACTTTGTATGAGTTACTTTAATGACCAGCATCACATTATTTTCCCATCTCCTTAACCATTGGTCATATTGATCTTAATCAAAAGGTCTTAAAGTGAGAGAGTATTCCCGAAAGAATTGGCATCTGTGAAACAAATATATCAAACGTAGATACCAAAATACAATACAAAATTTACAATATTACATGGCAAAATGAAAATAGTTATGTTTTAAGTTTCTTTCTTTTCAACTTTTCAGTCATCTTCTTAAACTATTTTGATACTATCTTAAACTGGTAACATAATTTTACAAAATTCGTTTCTAATTTTTATTTTTATTTTTTGTTGCAGCCGGTGAAAAGGACTTGCAGTGCTTCAATATTGATTACTTCCCGCGAGAGGAGTACAGTCCGGATCCGAACGACTCCACGATGGCCATACCCTGTAAGTACTTGTAATTGTAACGTCCTTTTACTCACTACTGTTCTACTTTTCGTATAAACCTATTCGTATTTACATATTTTTCTTGTGTTTACACTTAACGTAAATTACATGAGTAATTGACGTGGTAACAATTTTAGTTAAGGTTTCTTGAATGCCGTTGACGTCACCTTCAGATAATTGGATAAATAAGAACACAGAATCTGTACTTTGAATTCCTCTCTTGAGTACTTGAAAGCGCCGTATTTGCGCTACAAGCATATACCAAATTATACAAAATATGAAAAACATTCCTAACAAAATTTTACATTCAAAACAAACAGTGATTTTCCTTTGCTTTTTAAAATGAAACTTCATTACAAAATGAAAAATACTCAAATACGCATATATTGATGTATTATGAATTACATTATGATTTTTTTTATTTGATCAGACGATTCAACCCTTAATTTAGGCTTTCTTCAGATGAACGTATTCTGTACAGTGATAAACATGAAATGACAATAATTATTATAAAATAATGCCAATTTAAAAAAAATTCTAGTAGCAAAATGTTTTACACATATAAAATTATACAAAAATTGAAATAACAACACAAATAGCATTTTGACAATGCAATATAAAATTTTACCATAATTACCATACCATACACTTTACCATACATTAATATAATTTGACAAACTGAAAGTCAAACCCAAATAAAGAAGATCCATGGAAGTGATCTTATCAAATATATGCAATAATGAATTAAAAACCTAAAATTAAAAAAAAATATGATAAAAAATTCTTAATTTTAGGTAATAATTTCTAAATTCAGGATATCTTTGTAACCACATATGTATCACATTTGAGATAGCTTGCTCAAAACGCAAGTTTTTATCTGAAATGTTAATATCATTGCAATTAAAATTATGTCCTGAAGTGAGTCGATGTGTTAGCTAATCGTCTTTGATAGATTCAAGTTTTAAATTAATTAAGTGGTAGTTTCTAAAAATCAATGCAAGTTTTCTAAAAATTCTTAAATTATTTAAGTGGTCTATTAGTGTCTTTTTGTAGTTGCGATGTATTTACAATTACAGTTGTCACAATGAATTTGATTTTCGATATTGTATTGTCTTTGTATAAGACTTACATCTTTACATTTGACTACAAAAAACTAATTTTAAATATATTAAAAGGCAGTGCGAAATTTATATTGTTTTAAGAATTATTTTATTGAATAAGATATATATTTAAATAGAAATATTTATAAGTTAATTATAATTGCAATCAGTTAGTGGAGTCAAATTCTAGAAAACATATTTTTAAAACTAATACTAAATTATTTGTAGATAAAGCTAATAAGATAGTTATTTAGTTATTGGTAGTTAGATATAGTTTTATATATTTGCGATTTGCTTAATAAATACTATTCGTACTTCGAAAATCTTCAGATATCAACGTATTTTCAAAGCCCGACATTTGACAAGTAGCCGAATATATACGGGAATTCAATGCTCGTCTGTTTTCAATGTGCGTCAGTATTTAAGGAGCTTTCACATACAGTCACCATAGTTTGTGTATAATTGTTTTGAAGTGATGGCATAGTTATTTTTGCATTATTGGGGTTCCAGATATATTGTATGATAAAGTATAGTTTGGATGTTTTCAGTTTTGTCAATATATTCCTTTAAAAACTATTTAAAAACTACAAGCATAATGCCAATACACAATAAAACATATAAACAAACCCTTAAAATTCCTTCTCTACTTAATTCAATCATGTCAAGAGTCACAATGTTATAGGTACACATTTAACGTTATTTTTCCAAAAAAGTGAAAATCATCAGGTAAATCACATGAGCGTTTTTATGCACTTGGTTTACCCAAATTAATTTTGAATTTACTACCGCAGTTGTTAGCATATCGAACTTGCTCTCTATACCTTATAATTGGTAATATACCAAAAATTATTGCATATAAAACTGACATATCAGCATTAACGTTTTGAGATTAATAACATGAATTTTCATGTGTGTAATATTACTGCGGAAACAGACGTTAATAAAGAGTTGACATTACTGGATATCTGGTCCACCAATTTAAAATAAAATATCACTGTATGTGTATTAAAGATGAAATTCTGAAAGGTGGGTATTTCAAGTTAAGTGTAAATGGTTATTTTATAATTAAATAATCTGTATATTTATTACTGTAGCAAAAAAGTGAACAAATTAAGAAAATAGTTTAAAAACTCTCCTAACAATAAGACGATATTCCCGTTTTGAATAGCATTCTGAGTATTTATTGCAATTTGTCACATTTCTTTAGTTGCAGTTCATTTGTTAAGAATAATTCGATAAAATAATATTGGTTTCCTTCAGTTATTTTCTTTCTTTCATGATGCTTTTATCATTTCTGCGTACTATTTTTCAATTGTTGAAATATGAAAATATGTGAGTATGCAGCATCACGAACACAGAAGCAATATTTGTCGAATGTGAGGAAACTACGTCTTCCTGCGGATAATAATACATAATGTGTAAGGTTCGTAACTGCACCTTCCATAATAGCAAAGGCTGCTGCTACTTTGACCGGGAAGTAATCTATTCCTTTCTGTGAGTTTCCCCGGGAAGTTTCTACTCCCTAGTGTGAGTAGAAACGAAAAAAAAACTTTTAAACATGTGAAGTGAATGATGATAGCCAATGTGAGCGTGGCTGTAAGCAAAATAAGAAAATAATTATTGAAAAAAATAATTGTATTTGAATAAAAAACCCTGCAAGATGTCGCGAATTTTTCTCGATTTAGAGACTCGTTTCTAAACACGCGCCACTGCTGTGTCGATGGGAATGCCAATGGCACTTGCACAGAGGGCAGAAGCGGCGACAACAGCCAACGAGGAGGGCGAGGGCCTTCCCGAGGGCCCATCGGCGCCGCCCGTCCGCCCTTCCCCTTCGGCTCAGCCCTTCGGCCCCTCGCGACGCCGGGCGACGAGGGTGGCAGTGGCCAGAATGCGGCTCCAGGGACCAGGGGCCGATGCGGGCACGCGGAAATCTCACCGGGTGGTGGTGAAGAAGGCGGAGAGAGAGAAAACAGAACGGAGGAAAATGAATGGAAACAGAAATACGAGGAAAGAGAGGAAGAAGTAGAAGAAACGAAGGAAGAAGAGGAAAAAAAAATTAAAAAAAACAGGAGAAAGAAGAGGTAGGAAAGAAGGAGGAAGAAGAGTGTAAGAAGAAGGATGAAGAAAACAGAATGGAATACGTAATGGAAGGAGGAAGAGAAAGAAGAGAAGTTGAAGGAGGAGGAAGGCGTGGTGGAAGAGTTGTACAAGATTCGTTTCGATTCGAAGTTCGTAGGAAGAAGACAAGGAATGGAAAACGAAAAAAAGACAACATAATGCATGAAGAGAAAGAGGAACAACAGACAAAAGGCGAAGAGAAAGAAGAGGGAAATAACGAAGAGGACGATAGACGAATATGAAGAATACGTGAACTATGGTGATGAACTGACGGATGAGAAGGAAGGAGGGAATATGGAATAAAAGGGAAAGAGAACTTGGAGAAGAAGATGGAGTGGTATATAAAAGAATCAAAAGTAAAAATTGGAGAGAAATGGTAGAATATGTTTATAGGAGAGTGTCGAACTAGTATGGAATTATGAGGAATAAATATGTAAAGATAAGAAATGAAAAGATTGTGGATTTCTGACATCTGCTACGTTCTTTAATTACGATCCGCCCCGTCTTTATCTCGAAAAATAGTATTCCCAGTAAACGTTTGCTTCGTTACGGTACTTGTTTTCAGTAAGTGCATATAAATTCTAATCAAATAATCAGTTCTTCAAAGCACATTTTCTTGTGTACTGCACCTTTTGATAGGTATCTCAACAGATTATTGCAAAGATGAATTGTTTCTCTAATGTAATCCATTAAAGAAGCATTCGTCATCCCTTCATAATCACCCTTATGTCCTTCATAAGTGAAAGGCGTGACACCAGTCTAGAAAAGTGGATGATTTGCTTTGAAATCTACCCTTGCGTGCGCTTACTTACGAGAATGGCACTCATCACACACACACACACATGAAATGCGAAAATTACGACATAAAAACAAAAAGTGCTGCTCTAGAGCACTTCCAGAACGAGTTATTTTTCTGAGAAATGTCGCTAGTTTTACGTTGTACTCGAAACGGTACTTGGAAAATAAACAGAATTAAAAATCGTACCTGTGTAAAATGGAGGTGAAACTTCTAAACGGCCAACTTTTGTTTCCACTTTTGACAAATTTTAAAACAAAAATGTTAAAAAGACAACAGAACTGCAGAAAAGCCAACAAAAAGTACACTGTGTAATTCAGGGCGGGATACACGATTACACTTAATATCTGATACGTACGTCCTAATAAATGTCCAATGATCTAAATTATCCAGACTTCCAACAATGTTGAAATGAAATCACGCTGCAAAATCTCGTACGAAAATTGGTACCTGCACTTCACCAAACACACACAAACACGGTACACTCAGATTCTCGTCAGTCTACCATCTAACACACTTACAATTAACATGTACTACTTTCTAAAACACTAATAAAACGTTAATTATAAAAATACATCAGATCGAACCATTCCTAAGAATATTTTCTACACTTGCGTACGCCTAGTAAAAATGATTTCGAATCATTTATAAGAAACCGTCGGCACAAAATCCTGTATTTTGTGCAACTGTATGAAGAGCAGACATATGCCTGTGTCAAATAGAAAGCAGGTGAGAAGTATACAATCAAAAATTTCAGAACATGATACGCATAAGAAAACACACATGCAACTCACGACACAACGCATCGTACGTAACTCCCAAACCTGGTTCTAGGCTCTTAAAGTCATGTTTTCGTGTCTTTAAAGGTGCACGAGTTATGCTTTTAGATCGTCATCTACAAAATTTATTGATGATTTGATAGTTCTATTCCATTTTAGGACGCTCCCCCTGCTCCTTGTATTCGAAATTTTAGTTTCAGGATGAA